AGGAAGGAAGGAAGGAAGGAAGGAAGGAAGGAAGGAAGGAAGGAAGGGAAAGGAAAGGAAAGGAGGGCTTGAAAGTTTTAGGATTCCTGCAGCTGGAAGACCTATTTCTTCTCTGCAAGTTGCATGGTTCTAACTAATCACAACATCTAGGAGATCTCTGCAATGTAACCTGAATACATTAGCACTGGCTGCAGGATAGAGGCCAGTCTGGATGCAAGATAAAGGATGGATTGTACTTACTGGTCCACTGAAGCCAGCGAGTTGTGTGATCATTAAACACGCAATGGAAATGATGAGCCTAGTGCGACAGAAGTTCCACACGACTCTACGAAGGGAGGCATCGCCTTGCCCATAGTCATGTACCTCTTGGTGCCAAAGTCTTTCCAATCTGGAAGAACATAAACCACATTCAGTACCTCCGAGCAATCTTTCTACCTACCCAGAGGCCAGGAAATATGCATTTTTTTCTTATTTAAAAAAATCAAATATTATTTTTAAAAGGCTTTTATTTACCTTTTTCGAAGAATAAGTAAATAAACTAACTAAATAAAAATATTTACAGACCCCTCACATCCTGGACATAAACTGTTTCAACTCCTTCCCTCAAAACGACACTATAGAGCCCTGCACCAGAACAACTAGACACAAGGACAGTTTTTTCCCGAACGCCATCACTCTGCTAAACGTATAATTCCTTAAAACTGTCGAACTATTTATTAAGTCTGCATTATTATTACTATTAATCTTCTCATCACTCCTTGTCACCCATCCCTTCCCACTTGTAACTATATGACTGTAACTTTGTCACTTACATCCTTATCATCTATATTGACTGTTTCCTACTATGATTTGATTGCTTATTGTACCCTATGACTATTATTGTGTTGTACCTCATGATTCTTGACTCTTGATGAATGTATCTTTTCCTTTATGGACACCGAGAGCATTTGCACCAAGACAAATTCCTTGTGTGCCCAATCGCATTTGGCCAATAAAGAATTCTATTCTATTCTATTCTATTCTATTCTATTCTATTCTATTCTATTCTATTCTATTCTATTCTACTCTACTCTACTCTACTCTACTCTATTCTATTGTTCCTTATTCCTCATTCTATTTTATTTCTATTCCATTTCTATTTCTATTCTATTCTATTCTAGTTCTATTCTAAGAATAAGTGATTTATATTGAGATAAGTACATCTGTGCCTTTTATCAGAAACAATAGTTTATGGAGTCTCTATGTATATCGGGGTGGGATACTATGGCCCTTTTATGACTTGTGGACTTCAACTCCCGGAACTACTGAGCCAACCATGGCTGGCTCAGGAAGTCTGGGAGTTAATGTCCACAAGTCATAAAAGTATGGTTTTCCCACCTCTGATGTAAACAAAGAACTCGTTCTCTTACAACTCAAACATGATTGTTTGATCTCAACTTGGTTAGCTTTTTTCCTCCCCCCCCCCCCCCCCCGCCTTTTTTCTTCTGTCTGCTCTGTCTGGTCCTGTTTGCCTATCTTGTCTGCTATAAATATAGATGTTACAATGTACTTATTTGTACAAACCTACAAATTTGTGTCACTGTCTCCGACTTTACTGGAACGCTTGCTGTGCAATTTCCCTGACAATTAACCCTGTTCAAGACTAGTCAAGGGCTACCTGTATATATGTCCACTGGTATGCCTTAATAAATATCTTAACACAGATAAGAAATCCCTTAATAAATATCTTAACACAACATAAACTGTTAATATTAAGATATTTAAATTTAGTAGCTGGAGCAGTGAGCCAGAAAAGACAGTTGTGGTTGATTGATTGGAGAGGGCTGGCTCCCACATAAAGCAATCTACGCTGTGATTGGTTGCTGTGGGTGAGGAGGGGGAGTTTCCCTTTTTTTCCCGCTCTTTTCTTCTGTGTGCTCTACGTGCTGTTTACGATTTACCTCAGGATGCTCCTGTTTGCCTGACTATTTTGTCTGCTGTAAATATAGATGTTAAATATATTTATTTGTACAAAACTACAAATTCGTGTCAGTATCTCTGTCTTTATTGGGACGTTTGCTGTGCAATTTCCCTGACAATTAACCCTGATCAAGACTGGTCAAGGACTACCTGTATATGTCCACTGGTGTACAAGAATGAGCAAATTATATACATACATACATACATACATACATACATACATACATACATAATACAAGAAGCCAGAACAGACAGTTGTGGTTGATTGATTGGAGGGGGCTGGCTCTCGCATGAGGCAATCTGCCCTGTGATTGGTTGCTGCAGGTATGGAGGGAGAGTTTCCCTTTTTCCCCCGCCTTTTTCCTGTGTGCTCTGTATGCTGTTTGTGGATGCCTCGGGATGGTTTGCCTATCTGTGTGCTGTAAATATAGTTGCTAAATATATTTATTTCTACAAAACTACCAAGTTCGTGTCAGTGGCTCTGACTTTATTTGGACACCTGCTGCACAATTTCCCTGAACATTAACCTTGACCAAGACTAATCAAGGGCACATCCACTGGTGTGCAAGAAACCCCTTAACAAATACCTTAACACAACATAACCTGTTGTGTTAAGATATATAAATTTAGTGGCTGGAGCAGTGAAGACCAGTTGTGATTGATTGATTGATTGATTGATTGATTGGAGAGGGCTGGCTCCTGCATGAGGCAATCTGTGCTGTGATTGGTTGCTGTGGATGAGGAGGGGGAGTTTCCCTTTTTTCCCGCTCTTTTGTTCTGGGTGCTCTGCATGCTGTTTGTGATTTACCTCATGGTGGTTTCCAATCTTGTCTGCTGTAAATATAGATGCTAAATATATTTATTTATACAAAACTACAAGTTTGCATCAGAGTCTCTGACTCCATTTGGACACTGGCTGCACAATTTCCCTGACAACTCTGACTAAGACTAGTCAAGAACTACCTGTACTGTATACATCCACTAGTGTGCAAGAAAGCCCTGAACAAATATCTTAATGCAACACAAATGGTTGTGTTAAGATATTTAAATTTAGTAGCTGGAGCAGTGGGATTGAGACACAGTTAAAAAGAATACACACAATTCCTTCTGTTCGCCCCATGGCTTTAGTTATGAAAATAAAATGATCCGTGCTAGATGCTGTCCAGTGATCTTTAGGGACAACCCAGAAACAGAATTGAGAAAACAGGATGCAAATGCCTCATTCATTCTACCGTATTTTTTTACTGCCTAACAGTATTCTAATTTCTTTTTGTTAAGGCAGGGGATTGAGAGTTCGTCCCATGCCTTTCTGCTCAAGAGAGATCACTGGATGACTGGAAAATTAAGCTTTAAATGCAGGAAAATGCACAGAAAGAAAAATAAAACACGAGCTGATTTAGAAAAGGTGCAATGGTGTTGCCATCTCTATTTCAACCCAAAAGCTGAATTGTTGAGGCCAAAATTCCAAACCTATCTTTAAAGCTTAACTGAATGCTAAATATGAATGCTAATGTGCCGAAGGAGTAAACAAACCAAGGATTGCAGAGTTTATCTAGGAAGATCAGCTCCTTAAGAGACTATTGTAGCATCTTAATTTCCTACTTTCAATTATACGACAGGTAGTCCTTACGACCATCATTGAGCCTGGCAATTACAGTCCTAAAGGTTGTAAAGGAAGTCACTCATGTGATTGACCTGATGTTATGGCCTTGCCTTGCAGCAGTCATTAAGCAAACCCATTATCCTCTTTGCCTGACTATCTAGCATCATCACAAAATCTCCAGAAACGTAAAGCCTACAAACTTGAAATTTGGCACATATGTTCCTCTTGGCTTCTAGGTGCTCACTAAGAAAGGATTTTTCAAAATGACCATCAGCACATTACTATTTCGTATATTATCATTATTATTAACACGGTCTGATGCTAAGGAGTTCTACTCCCCCCTCCCCACCTGAAAAGAAATCTGTTCCAAATGCAAAACACAAGCAAAGGAAAGGAGTTTCAGTTTCGTAACACCAAGAAGCTTTAGTACAGAACAGTTGAGCTAAGCCATGCCCAGGCTCCTTGCTGTCTCCTTCTTGCTCATACAGCAAGTACTCTTTCCATTTCCAAATAGCCTTCAACTCTCTCACACACTGACAGGACACTAGCCAGATGAATACTGATGGATGCTGATAGGCAGAGGCACATTTTTCCCCCTTATTTTCTTCCCCAAAACCTAAGCCCGACCACAAAGCACGGTTATAGAGCTAGTTTTTATATAAAACCACAAGTTTGTATCAGTGTCCCTGATTTTATTTGGACATCTGCGTAATTTCCCTGACAAGGAAGCTATATAGGTAGTCCTCGACTTACAACCACAACTGAGCCCCAAGCTGCAATAGTCATAAGGATGAAAAATGGCCAGAAGTCACTTTTTTCAGTGCCATTGTAACTTCGAAGTCAGTCAGCAAACTGTTGTAAGTCAAGGACCACCACTATTTTTTGATTGGAGTGGAAAGAAGAGGCAGATACAGTTAACTTTGATCAAATCCTTGCTAAGGAATGTATATGTCATGGATGTTAAACCTCAGAAAATGGCAACATGGATTAAGAAAGCAACAGGGAGAAGATGCACCTTTTGAATGCAGGTGTGCAGAGAAGTAGAAAACATGATGAAACCCTGGGAAAAGTGAAACCTGCATGTCAACTGCCCGGTTTTATGAAGGGAAAAATGGAATTTAATTATGGGAGTTCCCGCATACAAGTCTCTGAGTTTATATAAAGTGGTCCTTGGGGGAGAGGTTAATTGGTAGCATTGCAAGCCTTCCATACCTTCTACAGTTAACCTCGGAAGACTCGTGAGTCGACAAAGGCCACATATCTTGAGTCAGCAGTTCTCCTTTCTTGTAGGCTAATCTTGCCAAAGGAGAAAGCCAAGAAAATGTCAT